CAACAGAAAATGCATGCCCCTGTTATTTTTCAGTGAAAGCCTGTGTCAATTCAAAACCCTTTTACAGAACCTTGTGGAATCYCAGTGCTGTAGCTATCTGGAAGACTCATCTAAACATAAACACACTGTATTATTTTAGTGCAAATCCTTATGTTCCGATAACCTTGACTACTGGGATTTAAAACAGTATTGCAAGCAATGTTACTATGGAGACAAAAACAAATATTCAATAAGTCTTAGTTGCTTGACACAAACATTTGTASCTGGACAGGAATTTAAGGTAATACAGTACATTAATTTTAAGACTGCTTAAGTTTATTATTTATGTCAGGCCTTAATTTAACAATGACATGTTATGTGTGGCACAATGATAAGATTGTATGCTTATTGTTGCTAACAAAACAATCTGCAGTTATCCATTTAGTTTCGCTTTATTAAAAGGACTCTGCTTTGATTGATAATGTTGCTTTAGCTTCTGGTTTTACTTTTCTAACATTGCATTATCAGATTGTCAAATGTTTGTTACTTGCTTTAATGTCTTTTCTTAAATGTGTGTTTTTTTGGTTTGTTTTTTGTTTGTTTGTTTTTTTAATGGTGCATATCTAATGCATTAAAAGTTGGTGACAGCTCAGAGCACTATACCTGCAGCAAATGTCACAATTATTTCACTGAGTTATGGAGCTGAGGAAAAAATGATGTGATTTTTTTTGTTTGTGTGTTGTCAAAAAGTCATACAATTTATTTGTAATATTTTAGTATGCCTCGTGACAACGATGTGCCAAAGGATGACACTTGGTGTGGTACCTGGAGGCCCACCAGGCCGAGGAGGCCTATTTTGGCTCAGTACAAAAGCCCGGGACCTAAATACTCACTACCCGGACTTACAGGTAAGGCTAAAAAGTACATTTGAAATCATTTGCACTCATAGAGTTAACCTATAGAGTTTAAAATTGTTGGCACTTTTGTTTCAATAAAAGGTGGACATCAGCATGATCCAACCAAGTACAGGGCTCCAATGTACTCCTTTGGTTCGCGTCTTAATGCAGTAAATACTGATTGTTCCCCTGGACCAATGYATGATATCCCCGGCAACATGACAAGATACGGCAGAGATGGAATACCTGCGTTTTCGCTCCATGGCCGCCCAAAACAGCCCCAACCATCGCAAGTCCCTGGACCAGGTCAGTGAGGCATAGAGCAACACAAAATAACTGATTTAAAAGTATGAAAATTCAGATACAGTATTTTACCTTTTACTGTTTCCGTATGCATATTTGTATTCYAGGTCATTACTACCCAGAGCGTTCACAAAAGTTGATCTACCCCTCAACGCTTGCTTATTCTCTGTCTGGGAGGACCAAAGACATCAATGAGAACCTTACACCAGGTGAGAAATTGATTTTGCAATATTTTYATTCACATTAAGTTTTTACATGGGAAGAGATTAAAAGTTATTACTTTCTGTTAATGCAGGTCCAGCTACCTACAATCTACCCCCTCTGGTGGGGTCTCGAACTGTAATCGCTCCTTCAGCACCATCTTACACACTCTCTGGGCGAGGGGCCTTTCAGGAGAACAATAAAAATGTAAATTTAGATTTTAAAAAAGAAAGAAAAAATAAGTTATTATTTAGTGTTTTTTTCTAAACTGTTGCTTTTAACTTCAGACTCCAGGTCCAGCTGATTACAATATTACAAACCCCAGCATTTGTGGGCCAAGACCTCTGCAGTTCACCATTGCAGGCCGTCACTTTCTTCCCAACAAAACAAATACACCAGGACCAGGAGCATACTTCCCTGAGAAGGTAAGTAACAATTTATTTAATAAGAAAGGAATTACTACATCATGTGTATGCATTTACATTTTTTTCTCCTTTTCTTTCCAGGCAACCTTAACAAAGGCAAAAGCACCAGGCTTCTCCTTTGGAATACGCCATTCAGAGTACACTCTGCCTATCATCACAAAGGATGATTAGGATGATCAGCTCACTTGAATAAAACTGAAACGGCAAATTTGGAGCTGTTTTTTGGTTTCCTTGTTCAGAATTTGACTAAAAAAAGAATAAATATTGAATGCTGTTCTTTAACTGTAGGTAGTGGACATGTGATAAATGCTAGGCTATGGCTACAGAATACGTTTTTG